TCTTTCACATGATTGGTAATAAGAGCTTCCATTTCATTTCTTGAGAGAGGGGCGTTTCCAAAACTGGTCTATACCTTTAAAGATATTCTCAATTTATGTAAATGTGTTGTCTTTTTATTTATGGGGAATGTTTAAATTCTACACAATGAAATAGAGTGTAAAAAGTACATGTATCTTACCTTACACTCATCAATTAACTTACTCATTCAATCAATCATTCAAATTGATTAAAAATCGAGTCATAAATCAATCAATCAATCAATTCAAGAAATCAAAACTCAAATCCATAAACAACAGTCTTCCAATTATACTTTCATTCGTTATCCATGCATCTCACACGGAGGCCATGTATTTGTCATAATTATTCTAAAAGGTTCATAATCATACTGTCTCTGAAAGGTTCGAGCAATTTTTTATCATTGCTTCAAGGATTTTTTCTGTAGAGAGTGTTTTTTTAATCTCGAAGTGGCATATACTCTTGATATAAATGAGATATATCTAAAAGGAAAAAATCATGGCCCGAAAAATCGTTAAAACATGTCTATGGAGAGAAAATAGGTGTAAAACAGAATCACATTTGTGATTTATATGGCATGATGTAGGTCACAACTAATAAGGTTAAATGTTGAACTGAATTTTCATTAATGATTAAAAATCAGCTGCATTAGCTGGAATAAGTGCATTTTTTCAGTTTCTTCAAAATGATTTCTACCTCTAATTTTTTTTTTAATTTGACAGAGTGGTTGAATCCATTAGTGCTATTAGGATTTCACATTAGCCGTTTTTTGACAGTTTGCAATGTAAGTACATCAATGTGTTATTATACAAATAATACATGTTTGTGAGTGCTTTAGTGAATATGCACTTCACGCTTAGGTCACAGTAGGATAATGAACGCGACTTGTCGAGTTGATTGTCCTTCTCATTGTGACTTAATCAAGAGCAGTGCATATCACTAATGCACTAGCAAAAATCATGTATTATTTGTTTTATAAGATGGGTCTACAATATGAGTATATAATATGGAAAAGTGGTGTCTTTTGGCGAGTCTCGAACGCATGCTCGCGCGCATGTATTATAACCAATGGGCACAAGCTTCAAAAACCGTTCTTTTGTCAAAGATATTGGTGTAACTTTGCAATGCTGCAAATGTGAGTGAAAGTTGAGAAATTGTTTTTTTTTTGCACGGTTGTTATCACCAAAATGCACTCCCCGTGCATATTATGGTTAAAAAAAATGATGCGCGCTCATCACCTGATCCATTTCCGATGCTTCTCATTGGCTACATTCTTGAACCCATAAATTGATATTACTCTGAACTCTAAAAGTACGCCACCATATCAGGATAATGAATGTAATATCTAGGTCAAGGTCGACTTCACTAGTTGAGAGTTGATTTTGAAAGTTTTGAAAAGCTCTTAAAGCCCGTCTGCACTAGTTTGGCCAGGGGGATATGACCTCCCTGCAAGGTCACTGGCAGGTGGTTATCTCATCAAATCAGCTCTCAATTAACATAATGAAAAGAGGATCATGTGGGACTAACAGGCACCGATTAGGCATTGTTTGCTATATAGAGGGCGTAAGTAACTATAAGTAGTGCAGTGGGGATTTAATCTCGGTAATGCCAATATTTTGAATCTAGAACATCGCCTTCGAGAAAATTTACGAATCTAAAGGTGAAACATGGATACATCGATCGTACTTCATAAACCAAGATGATAATCATGATCATGATCATTACGATCTACGAAATTGCACATCATTATAATGGGATATTAATGGCAAAATGGTGTCATTAATTATCAAACATCTCCCTTTGATCGTGCCGACACGTTATAAAATTTGTTTTATGTAACTATATGTAGCTCAAAGGCATCGTTAAACAATGTTAAATATGAGATGCATGGCCTTACGTGTTTTCAGTGTCTGTGATATATAGTGTAAAATTGATGCCCTAAAAAAATGTGCATCAAAATGATCATGAAGTGCCTCAAAAAAGTAAAAATCTTTGAGTGACCAGTTTTACCATACTCATTATTCCCAATAGACTGTAGTGTTATAAAAACAGTTAGGAAAACGAATTCTGGAATTTCAAATTCCAATTATAGATATCTTGATAATCAGACAGGTGGTTGGCTCGTACAAGTCATGGGATTCATGTATGACCTAAAGGTTTATCATTTTGATTGCAGCATGAGCTAAATTCAGGATTTTTTTTTTTAATCTGAGGCAAAGTTACCCAATCCCTTTAAAGGATGACTTATTGCATGTTTTCATATCAGACCGCTTCACTCAATATAGTCAGCACCAACTACATCGCTCAATACGCTATGGTCAGTACTATCGACACTTCACACACCCACCAAGACTCACAAGTCAAAAAAATGAGATATGAAAACAAATGATGTGTGTCATAATACAATATAATTACAACAGCAATCACACATTTTAAATGTTAAACTTCTCTGTTTACGTTGAATTACAAAACACATCTCAATCGCATTTCTTACGTGCACAAAACAAACACGAGAATGAGCGACGCTGTGCAAATACAATGCAGAACATAAGATGATGATAAAGAGTATATATTACATCTAACAGAATCATCTAGCTATGTATGTATGTTCAGGTCACAAACATTAAAATGATAACATTAAAACTGCGATTACATACAGACAAATGTGTCATAGAAATCCCACAAATAACCAGTGTAATGTCAAAACTGACAGTGGGATCTAAAAACAAACTTTCAGGACGGATGTTTTGCAAAATAGCATATCTGTAAATTCATTTGTAGTTTGTTTGTAAAAAGAGCTGGCTCACATGACCTGAATAAATACGTATAGTGATAAATGAGTCTGACAAGCGTTTGAAAATAGCGTTACTTTTCGTACAATCTCAACACATGAATCATTTTTATATAGTAAATTTACATGATTTACATGTATACGAAATGACCACACAATCGGCGTACTGGAAATACATTTTTAAAAGAATGATAAAAGACCCAACGCTTACACTTGCAGATCTACATTTCTGTTTTCAAGAGGCATATCTCCACGAATGAGAAGAAAGCGGTAACAAAAACGTGAATTAATTTGAAATGAAATTCGAACAAAGAGGAAAAAAGATTAATCAACAGAAAGATAAATACAGGAAAATTAAAATTACCCTCCCTGAAATAAAGGCAGTAGTAGGCAACATTCCAAGCCATGACATACTAATGTATTACACAAATAATCTCATCACATATCCTGCCCCAATTCCCAGTGCAGCAGCAGGAAGTTGAAATCCATTAAATAGCAAAATGATGTTAAGAAACGAATGCGTTGCAATCAAACATTTATGTTTCTCATGTTTCATCATGTAATATCATTAAATTTGATGAATTTACATCGGAATCATATCTTAAAATATCAGATTCAACGGAAGAATTTGCCCTCGTCATCTTCCAGAAATGTCACGTGATGGCAGGAAGCCTGAAACTTAGTTTAGATACTACAGAAACTAATTAAGCAATGCAAGACCATGCTTTCATAGAAACTATTATTAGTTTATACAGCACACAAAAATGAGGTACAATTTACAATATGTACAAACTCTAAATAACAAAGATACAGTCAAAGTCATGCACAGTCACTTCTGCGAACAAGGTTGATTTGTTTTCATGATACATGATAGATTAATTTATAATACACAGTCGATTGATAAATGTGAATCTGAATACGAAATTTCCATCGTCAGATAGGTTTGAACAGTCGAACCTAAACGATGGTGTTTTCCAGCAATGAAGGGTCTGATTTGGTAGACATGAAATCAATCGGAGCCTCACTAATAATATTCAAAATACAATGCCTTTCCCATCCAGCGGGTACCCATTACACACTTGGGTGGGGAGTGGTAAAAGCAGATTAATGATTAAAGATTGGTCCCAGACTGGGATTGGAACCCTCAACCCTTGGATTGAGAGTCAAGTGAATGCACCACTCATTTCTCCCTATACAATTTATTCTAAGGCCTCAAAAGTGTATAAGAGTAGAGCAGAAGTAAGCATATACACGATGAATATGACGGACAAAGAAAGAGGACAAAATATACAGTTCCTCAGGTAGACAAAGGAACATCCTTCTCTGCTGTTATGTGAAAATATGTAGAACAGGTGAATATGCATGTGACTCCTGTTCTACACATTTTACATAGGGTCTATACTCTTACTAGCAGTGAATGAAGGGATGTTCCTTTGTCTACTTGAGGAACTGTATATTTTGTCCTCTTTCTTTGGCCGTCATGTTCATAGTGATATGTAATAGCAGTGATGTAGCGCGGAGCCAGCCACTAATAGACAATGTGAGGTGAGAGAGAGAGAGGGGGGGGGGGGGACACTGGTCTACAGGTGGAACAAATTATGTGAGAAGAGAATAATGATAATGAATGGGACATATCCAACATACGAGGTAGTCATGGCGCTTCAACAATATCCCAGCTCTAGCTAGACTACCAATAGGCCAGTTTCGTAATGTAACCAAATTTAATGTATACGTCTTTGTGAAGTGCCTCAATACAAATTATTTCATTCACCTGATAGGAATAATAGAATTTCAATAGTCAAAATGCAACTGCATATATTAAGTGTTGCTAGGTAGGTCAAGCCATAATGTTTGTCCAACCTGGCAACAACTCATGTATGCAGTTCGGATTCTGTCTATTGAAATACTATTATTCTTATCAGGTGAATAAAATAATTTGTATTAAATTGCATTGAATTGCATTAAATTGGGTCACATTACGAAAGTGGCCTATTTTGGTACTACATGAAACAGGATTCGATGAAATCCTTCCTGCCAGTACCCATTAACACCTGGAAATTAGTGCGGCGCCGTGGCTCGAATCCACAACCTTCGCCACATCTTCTGATTACATTGCCTCTCTCTCTCTCCCTCTCTCTCTCTCTCTCCTCTCTCTCTCTCTCTCTCTGTATCTGTCTCTCCGTCTTTCTCGCTCCCTCTCTTCATCATCCTCGCTCCTTTTAATTCCTCTCTCTCTCTTGCTTTCCTTTTTTCAAAATATCAGATTACCACTTTTATCATGCTAGATTCAACTTTTACAGTGTTGGATCCAGCATGTCAATCAAAGGGTTAATCTACCATTTTGAAAAAGTGGTCACATTTTGGCCACTTTTGAATGGTCTTTATAGTGTACTGTCTACTGCAGAATCGTAATTGAATCCATTGACCGGGTTAATAATAATAATAATGTTAGCGCTTTGGTCGATTAAAAGGTAACGTGTCTAATAATGTAACTGACCCTATAACAATCACTTTTTAGCTGATTCCCACCGCTGCCATCGTGTTATGAGACGGTGCTCGGTAATGCCAGATATGCGCATGCGTGGGCCTTATTAATCATTCACCACAATAGCGATAAATATACTCACCATATACGCGCACACACGTACACCCACACGCACATCCACACGTTCATCCACACAAACCACAGACTTAGATATATACCATACCTCGCACCTAACAGAATTTTATCGAAATAGGTTTTATCCTTAAAAATCTCTTCCACTACCTTTAAATCCGTTGATGATTTTGGAAATAAGAATAAACACAAATGTCAATAGATATGTGAATTCCAGGGTAAAATGTATATATTGAACCCATCCACGGATAAATGATATTCAAGTTACCCGGTTCGATTCCATTAGGCATTGCAAAGAACAATAATTGTGATCTTTTGTGACGAGAAAACACTTAAATCAAGTCAATCCTTCAACTGCTAAAAACAGTCTATCCATCGATGAGTCATTCCCTCGAATTTATGTGTCTATAACATTGTATGGGCTTCGTAAATACAGCTAACTCCCGTTGCACATTAGGCCTAATTTAGCTAACGTAGATCTACGTTAACAACTGGCGTCATCTTTGCGATAATACCATTGTGAAACAAAATGTACCATCCAAACACTGCGTTGATCTATCATTGACTTATGGGCTAATTTCCTCTATAGTCTTGATTAGAGCAGGTAATAACGCAACCGAAATCATGCATCGGTACAAACGTGCTTTACAGTAATTTCAAAACCACTTCCAGACGATAATCACCATCATCACCATCATCATCATTATCATCATCATCATCTTCATTATCATCTTCATCATCATCAATATCACCATCATTCCCATCAGTACTGTTATCGAGATCATTAAAACTATTATTATTTTATTTTTTAAAATGTATTATTACGGGCCGAACTTGATAGAGCAGTCTATAAGAATACAATAATTCTCCGCATAAACGAGCTACTGTTGCAGCAAAAAGAGCTTACATTATCGAAACGAACACCAAAAATGTATCTTTTCAAATTTGTAACAATCATTATACAAAATATATCTGTCTGGAATGCAAGAACCTATGATTTCATAACATGGGTTCTCAATTCTCAAATAAGCATCCCTTGTTGCTATCTTCAGCCGTTCTCACACGAAACGATTATTCCACTGCGCTAAAGAAAAATTTCTAGGCACATGCGCAGCGTCTAAACACGGAGTTTGAAGCCCGTAGCACACGAGGCGTTATGTACTGACGTAGGCCTACGTCAATGACTGGCGCTTTCTTTTGCGCAAAATGCAACATGAATAGGGCAAATATTGCGTAGAATTACTAGCGTCTTGGGCTAATTGACTTCAAGGGCTTGATTTGTGTAACTAAAAACGCACCAGAAATGATACCTCGTGAGCAACAGACTGTAGGTTCGTCATAAAAATTCGGAAAACATACTGAAATAATCGTCGAATTTCCACAGGTACTTATCAAACAAAAGGCGTCTCCATTCTCCGCCTGTTGAATATGGCTTGATTTTTCATCTACTGTATAAGAAGAATCGATTAGCGCAGTGGTTTGACGCTTCAAGTGAGACGGCCCTATATTTTTCGCTATGCTACCTATTATATTGAGGAATCTTCTCTAGTTTGCGATGTAGTAAGTCGTTCGGTTTTTGTCTTCATACTGATACTAACCGACACGTTTTCGCGTGGTGTCTTACCACTCCATCCAGATGAGAAAAACTTTTTGAAGTATTTTTTAAAACTGGTTGTAGTAAAGGCATAAACAAATGGATTAACGCAGGAATTGGCGTAAGCTAGACACAGACAAAATGTGTAAAATTCTGTGCTAACAACACTCTCGAAATTAGGGGCTACTTGGAGCCCGAGGTTGACTGCATGCAGTGGGGCCCAGCACAAGGCAAAGAGTGTGACGACAATGAAGACCATGCGTGTTATCTTCTTCTTGCGGCGGAGTGCCCTTGCGTTGGCCTGCGCTGACTCTGTCCCGGCGGATGTCTTATGCCATACTTGATAGAGGATCTGGACGTAGCAAAACATGATGACCGACAGCGGGACGCCATATGTGGCAAGGAGAATGAAAAGGTAGAATACGAGTTCGCCGTGCGCCCAGGGGAAATCGCGAGAGCAATACAGATATCCACCTTCTAGCACCGTCTTGTTAAACACCAGTACCGGGGCATATAACACGCCTGAAACTGTAACGAAAATAAGGAAAGAGAACAAAAGGATGGTTATTAAAAGGTAGGTCAGCTGTGCACGGCACAAATGGGGTTACAAGCAGGCCTACATCTTAAAAGATTGCTGTAGACGAGTTGGAATCGAGATTTCATTCTGTAACTCTTTAACATGAGGATCTTGATTAGCAAACGATAAACAAATACTGCAATATACTGCAACCTGAAAGTTCGTTTTAAAGTGATGAAAAGATTGTTGAAGACGGATTGAAATGCAGGCTTGTTCTTTCCCAATATCGAACAACTAGAAAATTTGATAACACTTATCCAACAATTGAATGGTATTTTAGGGAATAGAAAATATTGACTAGACGATTGTTTTGCTGTGACACGCACTTTCACGAAAACAAACATCATGGATACCATCTTGGGAATAATAGAGATGACTCATCTGTGTTGTTCTGCAGTAAAAAACAAAATACCTTAAACTGAAGAAAAAAAATATGAAAAGATTGAACGGTACCTCTTCATTTTTCGAATGTTTTTGATAAGTAAAATCAGAACAAACGATATACCCATGGTTATACATTATCAACAATTGTCAGACACTTTACATTAAATTTAGGTTGGGACAAACAACTCTAAAGAAATCAAGTTCATGTTTATCATGCTGACCTTATGACCTCATGAATTTAATCCGTCTCAAGCATATGTATGACTCATTGCACTGTAACGTAATCACTCTAAACTAAAGTTCTAAAAATTCAAATGGCACCAGTTTATCTTTTCAAAGTGATTCTATGATTCGAATTCATTGACATTTAGTACAGAATATGACTATGATTTGTTTGTCAGAGATAGGGAGGATACAGGAATATCAGAGAGGGGATGGGCAGGCCTATATGGCCGAAAAATTAGTGGCAATAATTGTTTCCAGGAATATGATTTTCTAATTTCGGAAATCCCGAAGTCTCTCCCCAGGATACCATGGGAAAAGCCGGTAAAAGAGTTCCCGACATGAACATTTTTTTCTCAGCAATCTGAAATGGACATCCCATGAGTATATATATTTGACCCCAAAAGTAGGACTGAGTTTTCCTGTCTAAGTTTCTTGTCTAAATCTCTCAATGTCAGGGAGAAGGGGGGGGGGGGGGTATCCCCCACGATCCGCCGTTGAAAAAAAAACTCATTTAAAGGGATAGTTGAGTTATGTTTTCAGACCGCAAATGCCTTCAAAGTGCATGGTTATTGCTCGTATTCTTATCTATGACCTTTATAGTGCCCTTTTAGAACCTAAAATTGCTATGAAGGTAATTTTAGACCCCAAAATGTGTGAAAATTAGCCAATACGATCATACCAATTCAGCTCCACTTTAAAAAAAAATCATGGTGACCGTTAATTAATTATTTAATTAAAAATAACGATACATGAGCCGGATATTCGTGGGTAATATAAGCAACACGAAAATGCCAACAAAAAAGCCAACATCAACATTGGCTGAAATACGACGTAAAAGGCGTTATTTCATTTTTTTTCAACGGTTTTTTTCAAATTTTTCAAAATTTCTAATATCTGTTGTGGTACACAAGTATTAGAAATCGTTACATTTTAGCTGTCTCTAAACCGATTTTGATCAAAGATGATTTTGTCATTTAAATATTATGTTCTTTCAAATTTGACACTCAGTTTTTCATTATGTCTCAAAAAAATATTTTGTGTAGCGCCCTCTGCAACAGAACTCAACTATCCCTTTAAGAAATACATTACTCTGCTATTTCAGAGAATTAATATCAAAATATATGTGTGTCCAAGGCTTATGCAGATGCAGGATCAGGGTACGGGTTGCAATTTAAACTTGTGGACTGTTTGAATTGGGCCTTTGTTGAATAAATATACAATCGTAGATGTAAGCTTCAATATGTCAGATTCGCAAGAACATCATTCGGGACAAATCAGTGTTTCACATATTTAACAAATTACAAAATTTGGTAATGGAATATGAATAATTAAGTTGTTAACTGTATCTCGTAGAACTTATACTTACAAAACCATATGCCAACGTTGATCAGTATTGCTCTGCGTGTTGTCCTAGTGTTTCGTGATCGTACGGCATGTACGATCAGGAAGTATCGATCGATTGTCATGGCGGTAAGCGTTAGACATGTTGCCTGGACTGTAACCTGTCATATGCATGGAGAAGAAGAAAAAAAATAAGAAATTTGGAAAATATTGTTTGAAAAAATGAGAAATATTGCGACTTTTAAGCCCATACACACTAATGTATACATTTTCTATATCCCAGATACAAGAATGCAATACAACAGTTTACCCAATTTGTTCTTGTGAATATACCTGGATGATGGCAAGTTGTCATTGAGGATGACTATGAACATGACGTCACTTTGTTCTTAGATTAACTCCTTTTTAATAAATACAATGAGCTCTTTTGTTCTTTTTCATGTCAGTTCAGAAGAATATCCAAAGAAGAAATGTCTCCTCAAAATGGTTGCTCTCTTATTCAAAATATAACGAGATATACCTGAAAGGTTTGTACCCCAAACTCAGGCCACATTTGTGTGTGTAGTCCCATAAACCAATTTCTGAGTGCATTGCATTTGATTTCCAGCAAGATTGGGTCAAGACATTTTCATTTTGATATTTCACTAAAACCACACAAAAAACATCAATTTGTAGGTACTGCATAACAATTCCAACTGCTTCTAGCCAATTGTCTTCACAATAACACCGCATGACCAGCACTCATCTCATTCTATAAAGACTGCCTTTCTGTTATTATAAGATGACGAACAGTGGTACCAGTGGTCCATCCCAGTTTAGCCGTATGATAAGCTGCCATTGGAAATATTTCTACATGGTTACAAGGTATCTTTAGACGGACAGTCAACCTGTCCGAAACGTCGAGTCTACTCTCCTGCTCCTGCTCTACAACTCTACTCAACTCTCCAAACTCAATCCAGTCTTCTACTCAAACCTCTCATCCTATCTACAACTTTCTGGTTTACAGTCCTTTTCAGGACTATACTCACTTCCGAAAGATACTCTTCCTTCCAACCTCCACTTTCTCGCCTTTCTATTTCACTTCTATTTTCTATCCACTTTCCTTGGTCCTTCTAGGACTTTACACATGGTATACCGTAAACCTTTACCGTGAAGGTACCTTTAATTAAATGGGTAGTTCATGTAGGGCGCGGTAAACCGTATCATAAATTTTGTTTAAGGTGTAAATAAATGACAACCGCGCGCAACAAAGGACTTAAATCTGCGTTTAAGAAACATAAATATCTCATCAAAACAATTATATATCAAAAATTAATAGTAAGTAAATAAATTGTCGCGGTTTTGCCGAACGAAACATTGAAGACTATCCCACCCTATGGTTTTAGTAAAACACACAAATCAATAAAACCAGCTGGCTGTCAAAGCACCGAAAGGCGCCACAACTATTATTACAGGGACTTGCGTGGTTGGTAGCGCTGTGCTACCCTTGCACATCTTAGCAGTGAGGTTTGAAATATTGATTATCGACCATTATGTCATATTTTCATTAGAAATTAAACGGACATGGTTTTTCTGTACTTGTGTATACTATACACTGAAAGATGCCATCAATTTATATCTTCATTCAGATTAGTTGTTGAACTGTAACGTTACGTGTGCGCATTGTTTTTCCATTGTGTTGTAATACTGTTATTGATGTTGTTGCTTTGCTTGGTAGTTTATCTTCCCTATATTTTTCTCCCTACCTCCCATTCCTTATTTTGTTACATGCAGCTGTTTTAACCTTGAAAATTTGTACAGATATACATTATGCATAGGGTAAACTTGATCCGTTATAGTGTACATTGTTGGTGGCATAATTGTATCAGTAAAGATCAGCTGCAGAGTACCCTAACATACTATTTTTGTTTTCTATTTCCTCAAAAATTAATTAAATATCTTTGCAGATGGGCTTGAAATTAAGCTTGATTCAAATGGTTACTTTGAAGATACATCTTAGTGTCTTTAAAGTGCGACACTAAGGACAGTACCACTCTTACTAGATTCAGACTCCTGTGTAAATCATATCTGTTAGATAGATTGAAATAGATTGCCGCTATTACTGACTGTACTATATTATAGCAAGGATTAGCCAGTCAGCCTCTGTATGCATGTGTGTGTGTGTGTGTGTGTGTGTGTGTGTGAACTTAATGCGTACAGCATGATAAGCCGGTATACGGCTGGGGGGGGGGGTTGGGGGTTAAGGGTGTTCATGATGTTGTCAGTGATTCAGCTTTTTTCCTTGTAAATGTTTTAAATTTATATAACCTTGTCATCAGTTATTGTTAATACATGCTTTTTTCCTTGTAAATATGTGTTTAAGTTACACAACCTTGCCATTTCCTTGTAATAATTTGTGTACATTACCATGTTTTTTTGTTGTTGTAAATGAACTTCTTGATCTCAGTTGGCGGACTCTGGGACCTGCTTGTTTTGGGGGCTCTGCGCGCGTGAGACTGTATCGTATCCATACCATCTTTCATGTTTTGAATTACGCAGATCCTTGAAACACGTTGGTCTCTTTGCCAATCCGCTGGGATTGAGATGTCCATCCTCCACAGGGGCCCCACTCACAAGCATTGCTTTTGGGGTCTCAATTTTGATCATGTTTGTTCGTCATGATTACTATGCCATGTGTTTTTTAATAAACTGAAACTGAAACTGAGCTGAAATTATTGAAATGAAGTTACACAAGAAGTCTCAAGAGAGAGGAATATTGTTTTTAATTTGAGTTTAATCTTTTGCTTATTGAAGAAGACCAGAGGCGATTCGTCCTCTTTTAATGCCCCCTTCACATACTCGGATTTTTCTTTCGAGTATTTACGGATCGCACAAATTCACGGATCCTTACGATTTGGCGACTTTTACGACCAATTTAAGAGTTGTTATGAGTTATTACGAGTTAGTACGAGCTATTTACGGTTTATTACGGATTAGTACGGGTTATTACGATGTATTAACGGAAAATTCAACGAGTTGTTACGAGTTGTCACGGATAAATGCAAGCAAGCTACGTGCATTTTACGTCCTTTTTACGGATTGTTACGAGTTAGTTACGAATATTCACGATTTGGTGCGCTTGGATGCGATATGGTCACGATTGGTCAATTTCAGGTGACACGATCTGTCACAATCTGGTCTCCCGTTCAAATACGATCATATACGTTCCGATAGGATTGTCCCAATTGAGTTCACGAGTCGGTCTTGATGTCGATGTCATCACAATCGGGGTTCCCGATTTGGGACGATCGGGTACTTGCAGATACGTTCAAATACCCTTCCGATACGTTCATCACGAACCGATGCGCTCTGTTGCGATAGGATACGAATGTGGTCGCGATGTCTTTCACGATATATATACAGGCCGACTGACCATGGACTTTATTATTTCTTGAACTTCTACAGCGTGAACACTACAACCCACAACCAGTTATAATGGCAGGAGTTTAATATAATGACAACGTGACATTTGCGACACGACATCTAGATAAACTAAAATAGTTAATGAGGCTCAAATCTTATTCTTTTTCTTTTTTGCGTCTTTTCAAACTTCAAAATATTATTATAGCATCACATCATTAGAAAAACACAAGATGATAGGAATTTCCTTTAGCGAACACTTGTCTATATGCGTATTTTACCCTGAATAGGGGGGGGGGATCTTTTACCGTTTCAGAGGGTATCATTTTTTTAAATCAATAGTGAAAAAATATTCCCGGGGTGATTGTTTTCTCCTACATCTCACATGTGGAGCAAAGTTCGTATGGATTTTTTTTTTCAGAAGCCCCCAATTATATAATTGGGGTAGAGACGCTAGAATTTCAGTTTTAGTTTGAAAGAACACTCCATTGGGGGTAAGGAATGCCAATCATTGTCCAAACTCTCCCATGATGTTATCAAATCTTATTGCATTTTGTAATCCATTTGTCTGACAATACCTCCAGGCAACGTGTCTAAATGCCGTTTTTAGAGGTTCCTGAAAAAGTCCAACTCCAAAAATACCCGCCTTAAGGTTATGAAAGTGTCTCTAGTGTAGGCACAATTTCCTAATCGAAGAGCGCCAAATAATTACAAGAGATATACGGTCAGGGAGCAAATCTGTTTTCCTCTTTCGCTCTTTTACCTTCTCCGTTTCTCCGTAAGATATATTGGCTGCCATCTCTGTCTGAGCACCTATTCTTCATTATGGGCTAGTAAGACTCAGAGCGTCACCGCAGTTATTCCTAGGGAGAAGAAAGGATAGCAGAGGATATTTTCCTCTACAGTTGTCCGTTGAGATTATTCTGCGAATGAAACGCGATATAGGAAAATCCCTTACGCCCACAAGAGGGGAGGAGAAATGTACGTCTCTTAAGGAATCAAAGATACGCGCTACCACTATCATCTTACAATATAAACAGCCCATCGGAAAATGGACATTTAATTCCAACTTGATAAATGACCGTTCTCTTATATTGTGCAGCTAAAAAGAAATAAAATCAGAAGCGGTTGTGAAGGCAAACACGTCCGTCCCTCTTTTTACTGTAGCCTCGTGAGCCTATGGAGCCTGGAGTGTGATTCGATATCTGGAGGCCATCCTTAATGAAGACAAACAAACAGAGGGAGGAAGATGAGAAGCGAAACTAGACAAAAGAAAGACTTTCTCATCGAAAAAGACAAGACAATAACATCAAATGATGTATTTTCTCGCGTCAATGCAACGTCACCTCATATTGTAAATCTTTTGTTTTCATTTTGGCGGATTTGATCCGATGTTTCCGCGCAGAATTGAATACTTAGCACAGATATTGTTGTATGCTAGCCGAGGTCTCATGACGTTATTTAATGGGATGAGGGTTACTGATACTCAAAGCAAGCTTTTACATTATAGTTCAAGATACCATTCCCTTCCCTAGAGTGAATATTGAAGTTCCTTCTCAAAGGTTATATCAGTCTCAAGGAGGCTGACTGTGCACAAAGAACTTCAATTTCGAACACTGAAATTGTCCACAAGGCACATTAGAGGTACAATATATTATGTCTTAATCGAGGGTAGATCCATCACTTTTCCACCCTTAAATTTGTGCTACACATTAATTGCCTTGGCACATGAGGGGTTTTCACGTTATTACATGTTCCTACCCTAATTT